TATATATATACACAGTATATGCCATCGGCCACCCTGCTTTCTAAGATCATCGGCCATCAAAAAAATCAATATCGGTCAAACACGAAATCATGGTGGCAAGGAATGCAAAGATAATGGGTTCAATTTCCAGGGGATGCAAGAAATTATCAAACATATATATTTGACCCTGGAGCACAAAACCAGTCATAAGGGTCAATTTTGTGAAATTGAGATTTATACCGAATGCAGCTGTTTGTGATTGTTAATTCGTGACCGCGAGCATACACGTGTGAAGTGCAGATGCCGATGCGTCTGACTCCGGGCTACTTTTACACTGTTGCCACGGGTTATAATGCAAGTTAGCGGTTCTAAATTCACATTATAAGCAAATAAGCTTTCCACTGTTGTATGGTTTGTTAAGATAGGACAATATTTGGCCGAGATGCAACTATTTGTAAATCTGGAATCTGAGGGTGCAAAAAAATATAGCCTTTGGGAAACTACAGTTTTAAGGAGAAAATACACCGCAATGGTGTTGATTAATAGATTGACACATGGTTTGTCTAAAAGCATATTAAAAACACCACATAGACAAATAAACAACATAAAAAACTTGATTTTCACTACAGGGGGACTTTAAGTTTTAGTAGTTATTGTTATTCTGGTATTTTAACTTAAACTAAACAATAAGAAATGTTGCTTTGGAATTAGTTGAAATAAAATATTTAAAAATCAGTAAATGTTTATTTTGTTTCAAGTAATGAAGGTGTATTTTTTTCTTCCTGGTTTTAGTTAATGATAATAACATGGTAGTGGTCAACCAATATGTTGCCAAGGCCGATATATCATCATATTTGGATAAAAGCGTCTGCTAAATGACTAAATGTAAATATTTGTTATTTATTTAAGTTTTTCTGGAATTTTAGGACTTTCATTTTTACTTGTTTATTTTGCGCATTTAATTTATCAAATCTATATTTTTTAATATTTATTAATAATTTTTCATATTTATTATCAAATTATTCAAAGTATAAATATTATGTTAAATAAATATATATTTTATTGCAGCAGTTATGCAGTGTTTTTACTATAACTATATTAAAAGTGTGATATCACATACACACACACACACACACACACACACACACTGCTCCAGGGTCACATATGCCATGTAAGTCAGTTTTGATAAGCGCGTCTGTTAATGCCTGTGTGTGAATGTGTTTTAGAGCTGGGGTGTGGAGGGATATCATCTGTGGGTGATCAGCAGCACAGACGCGACTCCTGTTCCCGACGGAGCGGAAGGAGACGAGAAACTCCAGCAGACCGGCATCCTGCAGTTTCAGTTCATTAAGAGCGCGCTGACCGTCAACCCGTGCACAGTGAGAGAAACACACACATGAGTGGTTTTGCTGTTTACGCACATGCAACATGATCAGATGCGTGTCAGATATCAGTGAGTGAGAAGGTTTTGTGTCTGTGTGTGATCAGAGTAATCAGGAGCAGGTGTTGCTCCACGGAGAGGATCGTTTGTATCTGACCTGTGGAGAACCGACTCAGGCTCACAGTGTGTCGGATAAGAGCCCGTCTCGGGACAGCGGCAGCCCTCTCTCTCAGGGTCTCAGCACTTTACTGGGCCACAAGCACTGGCAGGTGGTTCAGGTACATGATCACACGCTCCCAGCTTAACACACATTTACTGTAGAGAATACAAAGTGCATCACTGTGTTTTTCCTCTCCCTGCAGATTCACAGCACATATCTAGAGACAAACTGGCCCATCAGGGTAAGAACCAACTCTTAAAGGAATAGTTCAGCTAAAAATGAGCATTGGCTGTAAATTGGGATGAGTTTGTTTCTTCATCAGATTTGGAGAAATGTAGCATTGCATTTTTAATTAAAATATGAGTCTATAATCCATAAAAACGCTTCCTCCAGTGAAAAAGTGTTCTGGTGTGAATCAGGAGAGAAATCTGCACAGATCAAGCAGCATTTAAACAGCTCTAAACAAATATGTGGCTGGATTTTAATGTGAGAGACAACAGCAGATGCACTTTTTCACTGGAGGAAGCGTTATTATGGATTATGGACTCTATGTATTTTAGTTAAAAGCGTCTTAATGCTGGATGTGTTTCAGCTTTTGTCTTCTCCAGATGTTAACTGATGGACTGGAGTGCTGTGGATTACTTGTGGATTATTGTGATGTTTTTATCAGCTGTTTGGACTCTCATTCTGACGGCACCCATTGACTGCCATCCATCATGTAGATGAGTTTTTAGCAAATTTTCATTTTTGTGTGAACAATTTCTTTAGGTCTTTGTATGTTAGTAAAGCTATCTTGTCTTACAATTTAGTTTCTGGTAACTATTTCTTCATCCTCTCCGACTCAAACACACTGATGCTGCTGTACCTTTAAGACTTGCATATGTAAATTACCTCTTTTTTTGATTGGTTAACCTCTGTGTACTAGTGTAGTTCAGTTTGTCAATCAGCAGTGCTGGTGATGTTGCTGTATAATGAAAATGTGATGATATGTAAATGTGGGTGGGCATATGTTATTGAGCATTTCAATGTTCCATTTGGGTCCAGAAACCCAGTTTTTAATGAAACGAGTCGTTTAATCTTTGTGTGTGTGTGTAGTTCGCAGCTATAGACTGGTCTGGTCAGTGTGTGGCCGTAGCTGGCCGGCGTGGATTTGCACATTACTCATTATACACCAGAAAATGGAAACTGTTTGGTAACGTCACACAGGTAAACATGCCTACATCACCATCTTTTAATTTGAAAGGAAAGTAACTTGTGTGATGGAAGCTTTCTAACATTATGTGTGTGTTTCAGGAGCAGAATATGACGGTGACGGGAGGTCTCACGTGGTGGGACGACTTTGTTGTTGTTGCCTGTTACAATTTCATTGACCGGCAGGAAGAGGCAAGAACGATTAAATAAACATTCCTCTGATTCATTAGTGTTAATTGAATGTTCATCATTTAGGCGAGACACTGTAGGTGAATAGGGTAAAAAAAATTAACTAATAGTTATTGTCTTCCTTACCCACTTGATTGATTACATTGATAATTGCAAACATTTTTTGTATTACAAGTTTTCTAAAATGTTAGGTTTAAATATGCAAATGAGGCATGATTTAATGAAATATATGTGCTAATTTGCATACATATCTAGTACAAAAATCTAAACACTGGATGATGTCAGTTTCAAAATTCTTAATTTTTTTAAATCTAATTTTTGTCATAATTCAGAAAAAGCTTAGAACAGACAGAAAACAATATTTTCACAATTTTTGGGGAAATAAAATGTTGTATATAATCAAGCAAATAATATATGAACAGATCCCTCTGTAAAAACCTTCAGGAAATAGACTATAGGTATAAAAATGTAAAGTTTGGTGTGTGTAAGTGCTACTCAAGAGGAGATTTATGGCTCGGTGTAGGAGAAAATCTCATTTTGAGAAAAATATATATTGTAATTGAAATCTATTGACACACATCGATCAAGTGCTATAAAAGAAACACTCAAGTGTCTTTTGGATGTTTTCTTTCCACTAGTCACTAAAAAACAAAAAGCCCAAAATCTCAAACTTGACAGGTGCATGAAAAAAAGAGTGTTTTTGCCTGCAGTGTCTGCCCTTAATTGACTCTTGTTTTTCTTGGTTTGTAGCTGAGGCTATACGTGCGCACATCTAACCTGGATAACGTGTTTGCCAGCATCACTAAACTTCAGGCCGACACGCTGCTGCTGAACGTGTTTCGTAACGTGGTGATTCTGTTCCGGGCCGACTGCTCCATCTGCCTGTACAGCATCGAGAGACGACACGACAGGTGACACACACACACACACACACATAATATGGAGCAACAATAATTAAATAGATAATCAGTGATTATACCTAATTGTTTATTTTGTAATAATCCATAAAAACACAACAATTGTTATTAAACCGTGTCATAACATTCACTTTCATAAAACTAGTGCTACATTTCAATGATTAAATTAATAAATTAATTTTCATTTATAGATTATATACTTTTCCGATTGTTAGTGTTTTTGCTTTTTACGCACATGCAACAAGATTTACACACATAATTCAGGATTTCCAAATTTGTCTTCATGTATATGCATGTTTATTTATTTATTTATTTTTATTTTTTGTTTTAGTTTTTTTTATAATAAACATTTCCAAATGTGTCTCTATGCATGTTATTTGTTTGTTTTTATTTTAATATTTTTGCTTAATTTATTACATTTTTTAGTTATAAAAATTAGCAATTTCTAATGACTTTTTATGTATATGTAGGTTTATTATTTATTTATTTTTCTGTTTGATTTATTTTTATAGTAATAAATAGCATTTCCTAATGTCTCTTTTCTCTTCTGAATGAGCTGATGCATCAATTACAATCAATTTTTTTACTTTTTTAAACTAAGCTTTTTCAAGGAAATTTGAAGATTCTAGCCAATAGAAATAGTGATGGAGAGTATCTAATTTGAATGATTTGCTTAATTCTGTTTCAAGTTTGGTGCTTCATATACAGTGGTGGCCAAAATTGTTAGAACACCTGACAGATCTGGAACTACGGACCTTTTTTGCCTCCAAGATTCTGTTCCGGGCCGACTGCTCCATCTGCCTGTACAGCATCGAGAGACGACACGACAGGTGACACACACACACACACACATAATATGGAGCAACAATAATTAAATAGATAATCAGTGATTATACCTAATTGTTTATTTTGTAATAATCCATAAAAACACAACAATTGTTATTAAACCGTGTCATAACATTCACTTTCATAAAACTAGTGCTACATTTCAATGATTAAATTAATAAATTAATTTTCATTTATAGATTATATACTTTTCCGATTGTTAGTGTTTTTGCTTTTTACGCACATGCAACAAGATTTACACACATAATTCAGGATTTCCAAATTTGTCTTCATGTATATGCATGTTTATTTATTTATTTATTTTTATTTTTTGTTTTAGTTTTTTTTATAATAAACATTTCCAAATGTGTCTCTATGCATGTTATTTGTTTGTTTTTATTTTAATATTTGTGCTTAATTTATTACATTTTTTAGTTATAAAAATTAGCAATTTCTAATGACTTTTTATGTATATGTAGGTTTATTATTTATTTATTTTTCTGTTTGATTTATTTTTATAGTAATAAATAGCATTTCCTAATGTCTCTTTTCTCTTCTGAATGAGCTGATGCATCAATCATGTTTTTTTTTACTTTTTTAAACTAAGCTTTTTCAAGGTAATTGAAGATTCTAGCCAATAGAAATAGTGATGGAGAGTATTTGATTTGAATGATTTGCTTAATTCTATTTCAAGTTTGGTGCTTCATATACAGTGGTGGCCAAAATTGTTAGAACACCTGACAGATCTGAAAATACGGACCTTTTTTGCCTCCAAGTGAGTCGTACTGTTTTTATCCACTTTTAACTTTAATATTTGGTATGTCCACCTTTTGCAGCAATTACAGCATCACATCTCTCTTGGCATAGTGTCATTTCCTGAGAACTTCAACACTAATGTCATCCCATGCCTTCTGCAACTCAACCCTCTTTTGAATGTACAATAGATCTGCCCAGTTTATTTTCCAACTCGCCCCAAATTAGCTCGATGGGGTTGAGGTCTGGCCTTTGAGGGGCCAGTCCATTATTTTCAGTGTTCAGCAGATTCCTTCCGTCGCAGGTAGTTCTGGCAATAGTTTGTTTTATGGGTATTGTAATGGCCAATTCAACAAAAACAACGGAAACCTCGTAAATATGCCAAGTGTTCTAACAATTTTGGCCACCACTGTATATGACTCAGACGGCTTCATGTTCCTCATATAGGACGAGCGGTTTGGAAGATGGATGGATGTGTCTTGTATTTATTATTAACATTTCTTGATTGTTCTCTGTCATCAGTCCGAACCCGTCGGTCAGTGTGGAGCTGCTGCAGGAGGTCTCCATGTCCCGGTATATTCCTCACCCCGGTCTGGTGGTGTCTGTGACCCTCACGTCAGTCCGAACAGAGACCGGCATCACGCTCAAAGCCCCGCAGCAGGTACACGCGCACACACACACACACACACACACACACACAGAGTACATACACACACACACACACACACACATGTACTCACACACACACACACACACAGAGTACATACACACACACACACACACGTATATGTACTCATGAGGCGTCTGTGTGTGTGCCAGGCCTGTTCGGCGGAGAGTATCCTGTTGAATTTGGCCGGTCAGCTGATCATGCTGCAGAGAGACCGATCCGGCCCACAGGTACGAGAGAAGGACACGCCGGCCAATCAGACGAAGCTGGTGAGTTTGATGCCCCGCCCCTTACCCCGATCCCATAGAGTGCAACACTTGGGTTACGGAAGTAAAAATCCCATTCATTTTCTCCATAGAGGGACTGATTTTTAGCAATAACACTCAAACCATTAAAGACAGAGCTACTGTGAGCTATAAGGTTGTTAATCATCCAACAACCCGCATTATTTCAACTTCTTTAAAATAATCACATTTAACAGCAGAATTCCTGGTGAAAAACTACATTACTCATGATTCTGCAGAGAAATCCCCACTTCCTGGGCTCTCAAACTCTCTTTAAATATTTACTTTATTATTTGTTTTTTTATACAGTGTTTAGTATTTTATATCATTTATATACATTTTTACAAAGATCACTCTAAAATCTTTTATTTAAGTTAAAGCAGGGGATAAATGTATATGATCTATATAATTTATAATTTAA